ATCCTTTGATATATCGAGGGCTTTCGTCCTTGTTATGAATGTATTGTCTAGTACCTTACTAGTTTTGTCAGCAGTGACAAGACATCAGCTGTGGAAGATTATCCCTATCTTTGTTATTATCCCAAAGTTTCTTGCTTGACATCCATCTACAATCTTCAAAGATTTAAATGTGATGCTAATCAGCATCTTCCTGAAAACTGGTCTTTTATTGTATTTTTCCACACTTGCCTTCATTCCTGACCACTGACGATACCTTTGTTCTGATGAACTTTGCTCTGTGGTAGCTAGACTTTATGAATTTAAGCTCAGTACTAGATTAGCAACAAGGTCTCATCATTTTACAGTTGAACTGAATAGATGTAACCATAAGTTCTTAGCTAAGTGCTACTTTACTCGAACTTCTCGCCTGTGGAACTCTCTCGCGACTTGTTTTCCAGTCAAATTTGATCTTCAAAAATTTATATGCAATGTCAATCGTTATCTGTTGTCTTCTAGATTCATCTTCTTTTATTGTTCTCTCTCCCCAATAGTATGTCTTCTCATATATATATATGTTCTCTTATATTCACTAACTCCTTACTTCTTAGTGGCTTTATTGCCTTGGTTCGAGTGAAATGATCACAAAAAGGGTACTGAATGTTACAAACCAGTCCTTCCCCTCCATCGAATCAACAGGGCTAGGCCAGAGTTGTGGTCAGTAGGACAGGTTGATTCTTCAAATTCTTTAGAAAATCAACCTTGCAGTCGATGTGAAAGTTGGGGTTTGATGTGACGAGTACTGATACCAAAAATTAAATTCATAACTTTTACCAATTTTTGAGAATTTAGTTTAAAACTGTTTCAAACATGTACAGAAATTCTTAATTTCTGCACGGTTTTGCTTACAAACTGACTTGAAAATTTTACTATTTCAAGAATAAATCTAAATAAAGTTGATATCTTTTGTATTAGATAAATTGAATGGAAAATATATTCAAACCAGAATTCTGATTATGAATCACCACAAGCAAAATATGCAATTTTTATACTGTATTTCATAAGTATAAAGTGTGTAGAAATTGTAAAAGATTACAAAAACGGCGACTCATTAAATAAGATCTTACACCATGTGTTAAATCATAATTAATCAAAACAAAAAAAAATAGTGTATATCACGTCATAATACTGCTAGGCACAAATTATAAGACGAAATGTTTTAAATTTGTATTGTTTATTGAAAATCACACTAAAACTATTTCACTGTATAACATATTAAATCATAATATCGCGAAATTGTTCAGTATAATTTCCCTTTGAAGTAAATGAATATTTTATTTGATGGCACAACGATTTAATAATATTGTATTTAGAGCATGCATCTTGTCCATATACAATTTGTAAAGCTTCAGGCAGTTGTAAATTTTATAAAGCTCTGCTAGTAGTCTTTCACTGATCACCAGAATTAAATTCCAATGCTATGATTTGGAACCTAAACAATCTTTAAAATCGTTTCTTCAAAAAACGGTAACGATTTGGAAAAAGTATTTTATGTCATTATTTTTCATGGCAGTTTTAAATATCGACTGAAAAAAATGTACAGAAATTCCTAATTTCTGCACGTTTTTGCTTACAAACTGACTTCAAAATTTTACTATTTCAAAAATAAATCTAAATAAAGTTGATATCTTTTGCATTAGATAAATCGAATGGAAAATATATTCAAACTAGAATTCTAATTATGAATCACCACAAGCAAAATATGCATATTTTTACTATAAGTAAAAACTGTAAAAAATTTTAAAAGATAAGAAAAAAGGTTACTCAATGAATAAGATTTGTTAGATCATAATTAGTAAAAACAAAAAATAGATATATATGTATATAAAACAATAATAGTGCTGGACACAAATTATTAAACAAAATGTTTCAAAATTTTCATTCTTTATTGAAAATCATGCTAAAACTACTGCACTGTATAATATATTACACCATAATATAGATAAATTGTTCAGTATAACGTCCCTTTGAAGTAAATGTGGGTCTTATTTGATGGTACAATGATTTAGTAATAATGTTTTTAAACAAACATTTTCATAGCATCTGCTCTGGCGAGCTACTTTCTCTGGTACCCCAACTGCATGAATTTAAGCGTGCTACTAGGTTGGCATTTCGATCCCACTCTTTCACTGTCGAAACAGTTAAATGGAACCGCCTCTTCTACTCCACCACCTTCTTCTCTCGCACCTCCCGACAGTGGAACTCCATTCCTCTTAGTTGCTTTCCTGAAGATTATGATCTTCAAATATTCAAATGTAGTGTCAATCGACATCTTTTGATGCCTTGATCCTGATCCCCGTCCTTTTCTATATCCTTTCTTAAAACACCTCTCTTTACTCTTGCTCTCACTCGCGTGCTAGTGGCACTCCCAACTTGCTTGGAGCGAAATGCGTAAAAAAAAGATGTCCTTCCTGAACTTCTTCAGAAATATCTAAAATGTCAGCTGTATAAAATAAGACAGGTCGATTATTCAGTTTTTTATTAAATCAACATTGCCCTCGATAAGAAAACTGAGGATTGCTGAGATAAGTACTGATACCAAAAATTAGTTTTATAACTTTTACCAATTCTTGAGAATTTAGTTTCAAAGACCGCCTGAAAAATGTAGAGAAATAGTGTTTCTTGCTTGTGACAATCCGGTTTCTTGCTTTGATCTTCAAAATTTAAATGCAATGTCAATCGTTATCTTCTGTCTTCTTGAGTCCTCTTCTTTTATTGTTCTCAGTATTAATGCGTTTTTTCTCCCTTTGTTATTCTTTCACACTCAATAATCCCTTGTGTCTTAGTGGCTTTATTATCTTGCTTGGGGTAAAATGATTAAAAATAAGTTAAAGTCAGAAAATATTTTTTAATCAGTCTCAAAAATATATGTATAGTAATATGGTAATTTAAATATTAATGGTAACTATAAAATTATCCACCCACTCCTAGAAAAAGGAATTCTCTCAGTACATCGGTCTGTGTGAATGATTGATTGATCTTTTTTTTTACAGCTTATGAACCATTTGCAGGTTATGTAAAACCAAAAAATATGTTTAGATTGTATGATTATTTTTGAAGGTAATAAGGATTTCTCAATATAGGTCTTACTAATTAACATATCACAGACTCTGCACTTCGGGTTAACACAATATTTCATTATTATTATTATTAATATTATTATTATTATTGTTGTTGGTGTTGGTGCCTTTCATCACGATGTCTGGGTGACTAGCTTTGATTGTTCTATCTGTGTGCAATATAAAGTCATATAAAATGTTCAGTATAATTGTCATTTCGATTAATTTTCATTGAAAAAATTTACAAATGGAATAAATATTTTTTCGAATAATTTTTTACGAACAATGTTCACATAATCGAAATTTTCACCATTTTGTCGTGGAAAAACAGATGCTCGATTTGACTCCGACCGAATATTAAACATGCGAATTTGGCAATTTTTCTTATTTTTTTATTTTGTTTTGTTACTTCTAGTTAAATCAGCATTGACTCTCTTAAAGCAAGACCACATAGATATTTCAAAGAAAGGGATTTCGAATAATTATTATTTAGTATAATTGTCCTTTCGATTAATTTTTATTCAAACAATTCACAATTCGTATAAATGTTTTTCGAAAAGCTGTTTTGGAACAATTATTTTCGAACTATTTTCTTGACACGACAAAGATTAGGACACTGTTCCGCGTCTAACATAGCTTCCTCGTGACTTTTCTGTAAATACGTTCACGGTAAGTGTTTCGAGGTACTTTCATTTATGGTACCCAGACTTTACGAATTTATAATAGATTGGCAGTGACGTTTCATAATTTTACAGTTGAAATGACTGGATGTAGTCGTAATTCTAGGCTAATCGTTTCTTCTCTCGCACTTCTTGCTTGTGGAAATTTCTTCCGGCTTCTTGCTTTCCAGTCAACTTTGATTATTCAAAAATGTAAATGCAATGTCTTCTTAATTCCTGTTTTTGTATTGTTCTCACTCCCTAATAATGTTTTCTTCATATTCTATAACATCAAGTAACTCCCCCCTTTGCGTCTTAGTAGCTTTATTTCCTTGCTTGGTGCAAAATGATTTAAAAGTTCAATGTTAATAATATTGAATGGTGTAAATAACTAGTAACCTAATTAACCTATTATTCCAAATGATAAAATATATTGCCCGTCTATATATATATATATATATATATATATATATATATATATATATATATATATATATATATTATCATTTGAAATAATAGGTTAATATATATATATATACACCTATGTATTTATATTATATTTTAAAATATTATATATATATATATATGTGTGTGTGTATATATATGTTTTATTTTCATGTTGTTATATATATATATATATATATATATATATATATATATATATATTTGGTTGGATAGATGGAGGTTGTGACCTGAGTTTCACGCTTTAGCGATCGTCAGACATTGGCTAAAGCGTGAAACCCAAGTCGCAAACTCACATCTATCAACCAAATATGTTAACTCTATCTCTGATATTGAGCGCTTTCTAATAAAGTAATGCATATAATATATAAATAATTTTACATACTTCTATTTATTTATACACTTTTCACACACACACACACACACACACACACACACACACACACACACACACACACACACACACACACACACACACACACACACACACACACACACACACACACACACACACACACACACATATATATATATATATATATATATATTTATTTATAGATGTTTTAAATGTGAGTATGTCAAGAAAAAGTCCGGAATCCTTTGGGAGATGGATCACTGTAACACCTGGTTTTCTTGGAACGTTTACAGCACAAAAGGTCCGTATCAAAATAGTCCCTCCCCCTTAACCCATATTCCCCTAAAAAATTGTATAACCCCAAATCTCGGTTTCGCTGACCGATTGAGAAAGAAAAAAAAATATGAAAGAAATATTCCGGACGCATAAATGCCAAAGAAAACCCCCTACTCTTTCACACAACCGAGTCCAGTTGAACAAGATCTCGTAGGCCGCCCAACCGGACAATCTTTCAGTAACACCGAGCTCACAGCCGTCACCGTCGACGTGGAGAGGTCAGCAGACCTGGTGAAGCGGCGGTTAAAACCCAGTGTCCACTTTCTAAAAAGCAGCAGACCGAAAGTAACCAGTGACGCGTACACACATTGATAACTGATGGAAGTGTCTTACAGAAAGAAGAAAAAATTGATGCCACAAGGAGCCATGGACCATTTGATAAAACAGGTCGAGACAAGCAACACCAGGGATACATCTGAAGGACGTCTCACTCGGTCAAATCCAGCAATTCCCGATAAGAACGGTGTGAGGATGGAGTAGATTATGATGATGTGCTTGTGTTGATATGGCTTGTCCTACTGTCACATTGTCAAGTTAGGCAAAATGTGTTCGAGGAAATGTGGACATTAACTGTTTCCTTATAAAGAAACGTTTCCCTTTCTTTGACAGAGCAGCCAGTGCCACTGTCGGCGGAAATCTATAAAATATTTCTTTTAAAATATTTTTTTCAGAAAAATAGGTTTCTCAAGTTCAGTAGCTGTTATCGCTCTTTCCAGTATTGATGGGGGATTTCTTCCTAGCATTTTGATTGAAGTCGTGTGGTACATCAACGTATTCATGTTGCCATAATTTTTTTTTTACATTTTTATAATCATTTGTTCCATCGTTATTTGGCGATAATGCCACTAAAAACTAAAGGCTTCCTGGGAGTGAAAAAGAGTGAGAAGACTTTAGTGAGGGGAAAGGAAAATAAAGGAATAGGTTTAAGGAAGACAGAAGATGGCGATAATGCCACTAAGACGCAAAAGGGTTACTGGGAGTGGAAGAGAATGAGAAGACTTTAGTGAGGAGAAAGGACAATAAAAGAACAGATTTCAGGAAGACAGAAGATGGCGATAATGCCACTAAGACGCAAGAGGTTACTGGGAGTGAAAGAGAATGAGAAGACTTTAGTGAGGAGAAAGGATAATAAAAGAACAGGTTTCAGGAAGATAGAAAATGGCGATAATGCCACTATGACGTAATGGGGTTCCTGGAAGTAAAGGGGAAGAAGACTTTAATGAGGAGAAAGGGCAATAAAAGAACAAGTTTCCGGAAGACAGTAGACAGCGATAATGCCACTATGACGTAATGGGGTTCCTGTAATTGAAAGAGAATGAGAAGACTTTAATGAGGAGAAAAGACAATAAAGGAACAGGATTCAAGAAGACAGAAGATGGTGATAATGCCACTAAGACACAACGGGTTACTAGGAATAAAAGAGAATAAGAAGAGTTTAGCGAAGAAATGACAATAAACCAACCTGTTTCAGGAAGAAAAAAAGATGACGATAATGCAACTAAGGGGTTACTGGAAGTAAAAAAGAATATGAAAACTTTAGTGAAGAGAAGTGAGGAAAAGATCAATAAAGCAGGAAGACAGAAGATGGTGATAATGCCACTAAGACGCAAGGGATTACTGGGAGTAAAGAAAATGTGAAGACTTTACTGAGCAGAAATGAGGAAAAAGGACAATAAAGGAACATGGTTCAGAAAGACAGAAGATGGTGATAATACCACTAAGACGTAAGGAGTTACAAAGAGTAAAAGAGAATGAGAAATCCTCATTGAGAAGAAAGGACAATAAAAGAACAGATTTCAGGGAGACAAGATGGTGATTGACGTTGCATTTAAATTTCTGATGATTGTAAGTGGCAAGGAAGTAAAAAAAAATACAGAAGCGAGTTCCACAGGCGAGAAAATAAAGCATATAACTTATGTTTGCATCTAGCTATTTCAGCTGTAAATCGATGAGACATATTTGCCAACCTAGTACTACGCTTAAATTCATGCGGTCATGGTACCAAAGAGAAAAGCAATATTTATTTCCAATAATACAAATATGTAGCACAAGGCCAAATAGGAAGATAATGGAAGGCTGGTCATCAATCTGTCTTATCTTAAACTTAGCTAGCCACGATTACTGATCCAAACATACCACAGGATTCCTTACACCAAAACAACACACTCTTATTTACGATTCTTTCTACAGCCACCATAATACCTCAAAGTCTCTATGTAGAGCTAACTATTTCTCATGTGTACAATTTGTCTATTGGTCGGCGGATGAAAATAACAACATTTAAAAATGAAACCCCAATCAATATTTAAAATGAATACAAACATGAAACTAAACAAAATAATACGGAAGAAAGAGGTATAGGATAATTGTCATGACAAAATCTATAGAAAAGACAGAGGGAAGCCACGACACAATGGTAAAATACTGACAAGCAGAAATGCCGGATCAGGACTCAGAATATCACAGACCTTTTGGGGGATTTTGTAGAGAATCTCGAGATATAAAGGAGGAGCACCATAACAAATATGGAAACAATATTTAATGCATAGAGGAATTGTAGATTTATAGCTACAAATAATGACCTCAAAATACCACAGGTTTCCTTACACCAAATCAACACATTATTACTTACCTTTCTTATTACAGCCACCATAATACCCCAAAGTCTCTATGAAGCCCTAAGTAGTTCCCATATGTACAATTTGTCTATGGGTCGGCGGATAAAAATAACATTTAAAAATGAAACCGCTATGTATATTTAAAATGAATACAAACAATATTTACATGAGACTAAACAATATACCAAGGAAGAAAGTTACTTAGGATAATTGTCATGACAATATCTATAGAAAAGACAGAGGGAAGCCACGACACAATGGTAAAATACTGACATGCCGAAATGCCGGATAAGGACTGAGAAAATCACAGAACTTTTGGGGGATATTGTAGAGAATCTTGAGATATATAGGAGGAGCACCAGAACAAATATGGAAACAATATTTAAGGCACAGATGAATCTTAGATTTGTAATTGTATAAGATAAATTCTGTTGATTAAAATTGTCTGCCACGACACATTAAAAAAAAAAAAACAGCTAGCAATTGATTCTAGAGAATAATTCCACTTGCTATCCATTTTAGTTTTTGCTGTCGTAGAAAGTCTTTAAGTGATGAAGTTTCTGTTAATTGGTAAAGTTCTTTGTTTTTGATTAGGTGAATACGATTCCAATGTAATAAATTATAACCATGGAATATTAGTGTTTGAGCCTTTTATACTATATATATATATATATATATATATATATATATATAAAATAGAGAAACCGCAAAAATTTTGGGTTATAATGTGGATTTGTTTTAGTGTATATATTATATTTAATTCTTCATATTTTTGCTACACGAGTTTCCGGTCTCGTGACCTTCTTGAGGCAAATAAAAGGAATCAATTTTTAAAGGAATATATTTTCCTTATGTTCATTTAATCTTTTATTGTTCATTTTCTGTACTTCTACTAAACCTTCATCTCATTTCTGGACTGTTGTCAAAAGTGAATTTCTGCCTAAGTGGTAATAAAATCATTATCTTTGGTTTCAGAGGTGGTGATGATAGATGTGTTGATGACAGATGTTTTCTCATCCCTGCATTACCCTTGAGACTGTCAAATCTATTTCCATTTTTGTCTATCGCGTGTGCTTGCATGTCCCTGTTATCTTGCACATGGATCAGCTACACATACATACACATGCATATATATGTATATACATACACATATATGCATATATACCCACACACATAGACACACGTGCATATTCTTGCTGTGTTGCGTAAGGATCACGTGTGTGCCAGTGAATAGTCTTTTTACCAGTATATATATATATATATATATATATATATATATATATATATATATATATATATATATATATATATATATATATATATATATATATATATATATATATATATATATATATATATATATATATATATATATATAGCGTATATATATGTATATATATATGTATATATATATATATATATATATATATATATATATATATATATATATATATATATATATATATATATATATATATATTTAAATTAATTGATTTAGAATATGGTTTTCCCGCTACACAATTCTAACCATGTTTCAAAAAAATGGAAGGTGCGAATTTAATTTTGTAATTAAATTAAAGACATTAGTTCCATTTCATCCTCAAGCGAATTTTGGAGTAACTTATAAAATTACTGGGTTTTAAAGACAGCAAAAATCATAATTCACGTTACCAAGGATACAGAGAAATTCATTTCAACCAGACGAGGGGTGTTTGCGTGTTCATTATGTCTCTATTTTGATGTATCAGCTATTAGTTACGTTTTGGTAGGGGTAGAGATGTATTCTTCAATGAAATCTGACATCCGTTCTTTCTTATATATATATATATATATATATATATATATATATATATATATATATATATATATACACTAAAACAATACACATTCTAACCAAAAACGTTTGCGGTTTCTGCCTTTTTATAATTTCCATTTTTTCTCATTGGAACAACTATAACCTTTTCCTATATATATATATATATATATATATATATATATATATATATATATATATATATATATATATGTATGTATCCATCTCAAATAACAACTTAAGAGAGACTGTTTGACCAACAAAAGGAATGTTAAAAATTCACGTTAAAAAGATAAAAAATTTAAAAAAACAAATGAAAACTACGGACAAAAGTTCATTTTCTCCATCAAGACATTCATTTCTGTAGTTCACTGCTACCAGCCAGCAGAAAATTATTTTTCTCCTGATGATGGCCATGTTGGCCGAAACTCGTCGAGGAATCTAAATGAAATTATAATCAAAACGAAGGAATATTAATATACAACCCAGTGTGTCTGAAAATTTTAATTTTTTAATATTTCCGCTGCCTTGATTTCACCCTTTTGATATTTTCGGGCGATTTCGGTCCCACAAAATATTTAATATTGAAAAACCACTAAACAAACTGAATTTGTTTTTTCCACGTTTAGCTATCTTGACACTTGTATGTAAGAATCACTGAAAATCCCTTTGAGTAATCCAGAAGAGAACAGGTTAAAATCAGTTTTTTTTGTCAGCCCCACTATGACTTCCCAAATGAGCAATGGTGAGAGGAAAAAATCATTTAGGCCTTCAGTAATGGTACCAACATTCATACTCTGGCTTCAACCTTCACAGTCCATTCAAGAACAATCAAGAGAACGGTGAATGAATTTTAAAAAGAGGGAAAATCAGAGAGGAAAACTGGATCAGAAGGTCACAACAGCAAGAAGTATTATCATTTAAACTTAGAGCTAAATATATTCTTATTGTTCAAAGTAGAGGCCAATAGTGTCATAAAAATCTCGGAGAATTCCAGTAAGATATCTTTAATCATTTCTAAGATACAACGGTTCAAATCTTAATCGATTTTGCTGTTACACGATTTGGACAATTTTGCTGTTACACCGGTGCGCGCGCACACACACACACACACACACACACACACACACACACACACACACACACACACACATATATATATATATATATATATATATATATATATATATATATATATATATGCTTTGGTACCCATCCAGCCTCCTTGGGTTATATCTCCCGCGGATAAGGGGGAGACGACTGAACTAAATCTTAAGGTCAAGTGTGAATGATTTGATTTGGGAGGCAGATCGTTAAATTCAAGAACGAATTTTTTTTTTCTTTGCAAGTGCTGTTAAAAGAAAAAAAAAACGATTTTAAAAATTCCTAATATGAGACTAAGGAGATGAAAGGAATGCTCTTTGGCATTTGTCCTGGCGGGGAAGGAATTTTACTCTTTCGACTAATGCTAAAATTTCTTTCCCTGCCTGTATCCTCAATTGAACCGTACACTCAAGCGAGCTCTTTCCTCCATCGATCGTGACTCTCAATAAAAAAGTTTCGTTCTTGTCTCTCTCATTGCAATTATTCTTGTAACGATCACTTGCAGACGTTATCGACGTAATAGCAGTAGTAGTAGCAGTAGTAGTAGTAGCAGCAGCAGCAGCAGCAGCATTTGCTTTCAACACTTTTCTTTTCTTTAACTACCTCCTCCTTTTACGCTTTCATTCTTCTCTTACATCGTCGTGTTCGTCCCACTCCGACTTCCTCATTCGAGCTTCGGCCATTTTTTTATTTTCCTTCTTGTTCTTCGGTTTTTAGTGTTTATCTATTTCTCTCTTCTTCTTCGGCTTTTATTTCACCACCCGACCTTTTCCTCGTTTCTCTCGTCAATCAGGTTCTCGTCCGATCACCGAAGTTGAGCAACGTCGAGCCTGGTCAGTACCTAGATCCGTAACCGCTTGGGAATACCAGGTGTCGTAAGCTTGAATGTGCGGTTGTGGGTATACACACAGACATATATATATATATATATATATATATATATATATATATATATATATATATATATATTTATTTAATATCAACTGTTTTTATCGATCTACCTATCTTTCTATATTTGAATCAATCTATCTTGATTTGTTCATATCCATATATCTATCCATCTATCTCAGTATGTTTATATCTAGCAACTCGGACCTGGAACTCAGCTTTCCGAGTTTCAATTCCAGTCGGATTCGTTATATTTCACTTACGCACAAGGGGAAGGTATGAATCCAGCTCTTCTCTCCCGCGCTGTGGGTTAAATAGTAGATCTTTTATCCGTAAATCATTATCGTCTCCACAGAAGTTTTACAATCTAAAAGTATTCCCTGTCTTTAAATAACCTGCAAAAGTTTGATAAGCCGTAAATATCAAATCGAGCAACCAATTTAATTTGTCCTTCACTTTATTTTCTTTTTTCTTCCTTTCCACTTTCATCGTGTCCTTTTCTCTTTCTCCTTCTAGAAATTGTTCTGTGTTGTTTTTATCATTAATTTTTCCCGTTTTCTTCTTTTTTTTCTTCTTCGTCTTCAGTTCCTCTTTTTCTCAATCTATCTTCTTCAGTCAGTTCCCTTTTTCTTCGTCTTCTTTTTCTTCTCCTCCTTCTTCACCTTCTTCTTCTTCTATTCCTATTTTTCTTCAATCTCTCTTCTTGAGACAGTTCCCTTTTTCTTTTTCTTCTTCTTCGTTTTCACTTCCTCTTTTTCTTTTTCTTCAATCTATCTTCTTCATTCAGTTCCCTTCTCTTCTTTTTCTTCTCCCTATTCTTCTCCTTCTTTTTCTTCTTTTTCTTTTATTATTATTATTTCCCTGCCGTATTCTTTTTTTCTTCTTCTAAATCCTGATTATTATTATTTTCTCTTTTCCGTTCATTATATTTTTTATTGGTCATAATTTAAATATATTTTTCTTCTTCTTCTTTTTCTTCTTCTTCTTCTTCTTCTTTTTCTACTACTACTACTACTACTACTTCACTCACTCTTCTTCTTTCTCTACTTCTCTCATACTTGTTCGAGTTCTTATTTTCTTCAGTCAGTTTTTCTTTGCTTCAGTTACTATTCTTTTCCTTCCCCTATTAGTAGTCTTTTGCTTCTTCAATTGGTTCTCATTTTTCATTCTTCAGCTTGGCTTCTTTTTTCTTTTCACTATAATGCTTCTTCTTCTTCATCTTCCGTTGAAAAAGTAGTCAAAACAGCTTGCTTTTGCACGTAAATCACTATGTATTTCAAACCTTTGTAAAACATAATATTTGTATTAAAACTTTGTCAAAACTTTGGAAACTAGTTAAAATCAATATATTTTGATCGATTGCATATCGATTTTCAATAATTTCATTCTTCTTCCATCTATCTTCTTCTTCTTCTTCAGTCAGTTCCCTTCTTCTTCCATCTATCTTCTTCAATCAGTTCCTTTCTTCTTCTTCTTCTTCTTCTTCTTCTTCTTCTTCTTCTTCTTCTTCATCAATCTATCTTCTTCAGTCAGTTCCATTTTTCTTCTTTTTCTTCAGTCATTATCATTCTTCTTCAGTCAGTTTCCTTCTTTTTTCTTCAATCTGTCGCCTCTAATTTCCTTCTACTTCATTTTTTCTTCAATCTATCTTATTCAGTCAATTCTCTTTTTCTTCTTCATTTCCTTCTTCTTCTTCACTCACTATAATTCTTCTTCTTCGATCAGTTTCCTTCCTTTTTCTTTAAACTGTTGCCTTCAAAATAATTCCTAGTCATCATTTCCTCTTCTTTTTCTTCAATTTCTATTCAGTCAGCTCACTTTTTCCATTTTTTTTCTTCTTCAGTCACTGTCCGTTCTTTTTCTTTAATCTTTCGTCTTCATTTTCTTTCTTCTTATTCTTGTTATTTTTCATTCTTCTTCTATCAGTTTACTACTTCTTTTTCTTCTTCGGTCAATTACCGTATTCTTTAGTTAGTTTCATTATTTTTCTTCTTCGTCTTCTTCTTTTTCAGTCAGCTTCTTTTCACTTCTTCTTCACTTACTTTTCTTCTTCTTCTTCTTCTTCTTCTTCTTCTTCTTCTTCTTCTTCTTCTTCTTCTTCAGTCCACTTCATTCTTCTGCCTTTTCTTCCGTCAGTTTCACCCTGCGCCTCCTTTTTCTTCTTTATTTTCTTCTTCTGTAATCACTTTTTCTTTGCCTCTTTCATTTTCTTCCAATTCCCCTTTCTTTATCACTCATTCTTTTTCATTCTTCTTTTCGTCCTATCGATTTATCTCTTTCCTGTTCTCTTTCTTCTTCCACTTTCACTGTGATCACTTCTTTTCATTTACCCCCACTTTTCTCTCCACCAACTACATCACCCCGCCTTCATCTCTACACACTTTCTTCTCTACCTCTTCCCTCTTCTCACAACAGGACCTGACGTCATTGTCCTCGCAATGACGTCATTGTTTATCTCTGGGACGAAATGCAAAGTGCTTATTTCTTTGGAAATGTGCCATTTTTAATAGATAAATTTTCCTTTCGTCGAGGCTTTTTCAACGAAAAATTTATCGGACGCTTCCTTCGCGTTTTCTTCGGCCCGTCATTTTCCTTCCATTTTTTTTTGTTTGTTTTTTTTTCAAACAATATATTTCCCCCCTGACCTCGTTTCCATGAACCCCTACAAGCAATCAACACAGGACTAGGGTTTATATTTACCATGTTGGCATCTCACTTTTTCACCGACAGATGCAAGTCAAGATGATTCCAAATTGAAAATGAAAGTACAAGTGCTTCTTTCACTTGTGGCGCCATTTTTATTTTGGCGCCAATTTTATTTCTTTTCTTCATTTTTTTAAAATCATTTTATTCTCTCTCCCAATTTCATGCGGCAATCATTCAATATAGCCCAAAGGGAAAAAATGTCTTATTTTTTTTATTTTTATTTTGATATCAGATGTTATTTTGGTGTTTTCCACTTTATTTTCGTTCACTCTCGGAGCAATCATGTATTTTTCTTTCTTTTTTTTTTCTTAATTTATATCATTCGAGTTAAAAAGAAAAGTCTGCCCCACACTACAACCGCATCTTCTATCTATCCCAGAAATAAGTGTTTCGGGACTAGCTAAGTATAATATTGTACATACACGTACATACATGTACACACACACACACACACACACACACACATATATATATATATATATGTGTGTGTATATTATATATAAAAGTGAACATTGAAGTCAGCACTTAGAGGCGACAGGATGTTTCATGCTAGACGCAATCGTCAGGCCACACACACACATATATATATACATATATATTCATATATATATATATATATATATACATATATATATATGTATATATATATACATATATATATATGTATATATATATATATATTTAAGCAGCAATCCTCCGTTTATGCATGTTTCATTAAAACGACAGACAATATTACTAAAATCAAGCTTTTATTTAGATATGATCAGATAGGTGTAACATAAGGCGTCTGGATAAGCATGTCGTTGTGTTAGACGTCTGTATTACACCTATCTGATCATACCTCCATTAGAAACCATTAAAATACACACATAAACTTGCCAAACTCCATTAGAAACATACTAGTAGAAAACAAAACTTCATCCACCTGTAAAAAAAGATTAAAATTATCGAAGTTTTAATAATAAAAAAGAAAAAAACAACTCTTAACATTATTAACTACGAAAAAGGTCACAGTGTGCTAACCGTATTCGGAAATTAAAAACATCTCTATAACTCACTAAAACATACATATAATGCACACGCTCAATTAAGCTGAAAAATTGAATCATTCTTTATAATACAACGTTACCAAAAAAAGTCTGTCCGTTTTTTAAAGAAAAAAAAGAAAATGCTTCACAGTATGTGTAACTTATATTTAGTCTTCGAAGTAATCGTCATCGGCATCCAGCACCTTCTGCCAACGTGTCCCCAGCTGTTCAATGCCCTTGCGGTAGAACTCTTGACGCAAAGAAGTCCGTGAGGGCTTTGCGCAAGTCTGCTTCATTGGTTAAGGATTTCCCACGAAGATGATTATCCAGGGAGTGGAAGAGGTGGTAATCGGATGGCGCAAGGTCAGGTGAATAAGGTGGATGGCACAAAGTCTCCCATCCAAGTTGCTGTATGGTATCCCTGACCACTAGCGCGACATGCGACCTGGCGTTGTCATGGAGGAAAAGCACACCTTTGCGATTCACCAGTGCTGGCTCCTTCTGGCGTTTGCGGAACCCACTTGCTCAGTTTGTACGTCTTACCTAGGCGGTGCAGGTGAAGTCTAACTGTTTCATTGGAAACGCTGAACTGTCTTGCAAGTTCACCACACGTTAGACTACTGTCCACTTCAATGGCCGCCTTCAGGACTCCGTCATTCAAGACCTGTGGTCGTCCACTGCGATGCTCCTCATGGAGAGACAAATCTCACTACTTGAATTTTCGAAACCAACGCCTTGCAGTACTTTCATCCACAGCACTATCCCCAAACGCTTGACATATGCGGCGACTTGATGCAGCTGCTTATAAGCCTATTTTGAAGTCGTAAAGTAAACAGCCCCGAACGAGATCTCTAGACACTTCCATCCTTCTCACAGCTGTCCGGCTTATAACTGATGGCCGGGAACGGTGCACGTATTTTTTTTATAACGTCTGATGTTCCTCCTTCACGCTCTTCGAATTTGAAAACAATTGCTACACACATTTCGTAAATATTTTAACTTCGTTTCAATGACTAATGTCGGCCTTCCCTTTGTAAACAGAGGGAATGCTTACTGGGCCTGAATGTTATTGCACTCTACTTTTCTTAAAATTCATTTATTTTTCCCTCCCTCCATTGGTTATCATGAATATCATTTAAATTTACACGTTTATTTTTTATATCCCAGAAAATAAACTTGATAAGGCTGGGACGAAACCGGTTGTTTTTTTTTAGCATAAAACATGCTTATTCTTAGCTATCCTTAAATTTTCAGGCCTGACGATTGCGTCTAGCATGAAACAAACTATACACACACACACACACACACATATATATATATATATATATATATATATATATATATATATATATATATATATATATATATATATATATAAGGGTGTCCATAAGTTCAGGTTCACTTTAAAAAATGTATAACTTTATTTGTATTTGCGATAGAAATAATCTGAAAAACATGTTATAAAGTTTAATGTACCTAGTTTAAAGTATAGCTAAAATAACTAATGGGATTTCAGGCATAAATGTAAATCAGTTGGCAAATTTTTTCCGTGAACTGCAAAATCGTATTACACTTTGCATTGCTAAGGATGGAGGACATGTGGAAACTTCAATAAAATTTTGATAAAACCTTAAAAAATATAGATTTACTTCTTTCTAATCCTTTTTATAAATTATTTCTATCGCAAATACAAATATACAAATAAAGTTATAAATTTTTAAAGGGCAAACAAACTTTATGGAGACCCAGTATATATATATATATAAATGTTGAAACTTGAATAAAACTCTGTACCACATTAGTGGGCGTCGGCATGTCTCTAATCGCAATGGACCTTTCCGGATCTGGACATCTGCCATTTTTGTTGATTATGTGCCCTAACTACTTAATTTCCCCAAACCAAATTCGCACTTTGACTCTTTGACTTTAAATCCAAAGTCCTGAATCTTTTTAAATACTGTATTGAGATGCTCTCGATGTTCGTCGACGGTTTCGCTGCTTACTATGATGTCGTCTAAGTAAGCGCACGCAAAGTCTAAATCATTCAACAATATATAAGTGTGTGTGTGTGTGTGTGTGTGAATGTGTGTGTGAGTGTGTGTGTGTGCGTGTACAATATTATACTTAGCTAGTTCCGAACACTTATTTCTGGGATAGATGGAAAATACGAACCTATTTCGGTTATAGTGTGGGGCAGACTTTTCTTTCTAATCCTTAAATATGACTAACAATTTACAGACTTTCGCTGGATTTGGCGATTAATATCCATTACCCTAAATTTATTTCCAATTTATAAAAATTGTTAATGTAGAAAAAAATTCGTCTCAAGAAATCATGTAAAAAAAATTGTCCGGAAACTTTCGCAGATATGAACGCTTGGGAAACTAAAATTTCGAGATTGCTGGTCCGGAACTGGAATGTTTTAAATTGCTCACGGAGTCGGTCTGTTTCAAAATGGTATGATTTGCTGAGTTAAGGCCTCTAGGGTAAAGTTGAAAATGTGTGACACACTGATATTCGCATCTATATATATATATATATATATATATATATATATATATATATATATATATATATATATATATATATATATTAAAAAATTATAACCTAAATATGTCATAAAATCATTACAAAAATAGCCATTTTCAACACTCCTGCTGTCTTATAAAGTTCTACATTCAACACCATTACCATGATAAGACAACAGAAGTGTTGAAACAAAATGACTATTTTGTCCTTGGCACAGTGGATAAAGGCGTTGGTTAGATCCAGTGACACACCCAAAGAAGGTGAGTTCAATACCTGGTTAAGGCAGTGGAGAACTTTCAGAGGGAAAATTAGCAGGAGATAACTGATAACTGACATCCATCAAACATGGCACGTGGAACTAGAACAGTCTAAAAAAGTGATCGAAATAAAGGGTTCAGTTCGAAATTCCAACCACCTGAAGAAGGCCGGGCGTACAACGGCCGAAACGTTGTGACAAATATGGCGACAAAGATGAGGACAATAGTCCGACTAATGTAAATACTGTACATAATACCTCATCTCAGAAATATAGACAAACGCTGGGAATGTTTTAATAATGAATTTTGGATTTTTAATAATGTGTTTTAAAATAAATCAAAACAAAATATCTACGTCGTCAATAATATTTGCTTGAAAGAAAATTTTCTACCTAAATACACAATATCGTTAAACTACATCCGCGTCCTTGGTAAGACGTTAAACTACATCCGCTTCCTGGGTAAGACGTTAAACTACATCCAGCAGCAAAGACTCTGATCAGGAAGTTTTGAGGAGCGTGGAACAACCTCTTAGTTGCTGGTGTTCCCAGGTCCACCCTGACCTGGGGTGGTAGCACATGTTATAATAGTTAACTATTACCAGCAATACTTTTTTGAAAAAAATTATTACCAGCAATACAATTTTGAAGGAAATATATTACCAGAAACTGATTTTTGACAAAACAAAATATTACCAGCAATAAAAATTTCTGTCAGCATTAAATAACCCATTGAGGGTTATGCCGTAAAACAAAATAAACCAAACCAATCTAAACCGAAGACATATTCTATTCATACGAATATATCCTAAAAATGTCGGCATGAAATAATCCATTGAGGTTGATATGCCGTAAAACAAATTAAACCAAACCAATCTAAACCAAAGAATACATACTCTATTCATACGAATCTATCCTAAAAATGTTGTCGGCATTAAATAATCTATTGAGGTTGATATGTCATTAAACAAAATAAACCAAACCAATCGAAACAAAAAAATACATATTCTATTCATACGAATCTATACTAAAATATTGTCGGCATTAAATAACCCATTGAGATTGATACGCCATTAAACGAAAGAAACTAAACCAATATAAACTAAAGAATACATACTCTATTCATACTAATCTATTCTAAAATGTCGGCATTAAATAAGCCATTGAGGTTGATATGCTGTTAAACAAAATAAACCAAACCAAACTAAATACACAATATATACATGGAAAAATAGAATGTTTCGTAAGAAGTAACTTTGTCCTTTCGGACTTAAAGTCATGTTTACGTTTATGCAACTACGCATGCGCACGAAGAAGATGGGTCGCTGATAATTTTAAATTTTCTTTAATTCATGTTTTGGGTGTATGAGGTGTTCGTTTCAACATTTGATAATTTTGCAAAAATACGTGCTTAAAGGTTTTAGGCAGTTTTGATCAACATTTCTTTTTATTGTTAGCCGTGAGGAATTGTAAATGTAGAACTACTTTACACTTAAGTAAAATAACAATAATAATATTTATTAAGAATTTATTACAGTTTATCAAGTTTTACAGAAACTTTGTTGACAATTATATATTTTGTTACATAACAAATAAATAAAAATAATATAATTTTTTATGTTTTATTCGATTTGATGTTAGGTATTTTTCATTTTCTCCTTTGTTATTGGCAGCAATTTAGAATACTTTGGCTGTAATGCTAAGTTTCCTAAGTTGAACAAACTGGAGCTATTTCGTTTACGCTTTGTTACCTCTCTTTTCCATTGTTGTTTTTAGATCGCTTTCTTCAAGTTGTTTTGAAGGGCAATAGCGAAATTCTGAAATTTAGAATGATCTTATTCCATTTCATTTGCTGTTATATCCAGCCGTCTTAAAATTAAAAAAATATGACACCTTTTAGCCAATATAGCATTACGCTTAAATTCATAGTCCAGAACAACTGGCATGAAAAGGTATAAGGAAATGATAGAGGGAAACATCCATGTTTTTTATATATATATATATATATATATATATATATATATATATATAAGTGAGCATTGAAGTCAACACTTAGAGGTGACAGTCTGTTTCATTCTAGACGCAACCGTCAGGCCTGACGATTGCGTCTAGCAGGAAACAGACTGTCGCCTCTAAGTGCTGACTTCAATGTTTACTTTATATTTACACACGCTCTATCTCTGATATTATAAATATAACACACCTTAAGACTATATATATATATATATATATATATATATATATATATATATATACACTGTATATATATATATATATATATATATATATATATATATATATATATATATATATATATTTGTGTATTTAGGCAGCAATCCTTCTTTCATGCACATTTCATTGAATACAACAGACTAGGTGCTTTTATTTAGCTTTTTAAACAATTTCTCATGCGATCTAATATTTTTTTCTCATCGAATGATAAATTATATAAAAACTGCCTGAATGTTCTTTTTATCCGAGCGCTTTCGGCTATACATTTAGCCATTTTCAAGGATTAAATATTTTAACTGTTAAATAAGAAATAGTTTCTTGTATGTATGTTTTATAAGATGTTTTCATTTTTCAAAACACGGTCAATATATTGTGTCCATGTTCAAAGTTAATTAAAGTTATTAAATGTTGATTTTTTTTTTGTTTCAATTAATAAGGCTTCTATTATTTTTTCTATATAATTTATCATCCGAAAAGAAAAAAAATTATTAGATTGCATGAGAAATTGTATAAAAAACTAAATAAAAGTACCTTGTCTGTCGTATTCAGTGAAATGTGCATGAAAGAAGGATTGCTGCTTAAATACACACACACACACACATATATATATATATATATATATATATATGAAGAAAAATTTGGAAAAAACAAACAAAATGAAGAAAAATTTGGAAAAAACAAACAAAAATCCTTAAATGCAATTATGTTGTTTAAAATGAATGAAATGTCGACATCTGACGTTTCGGTTTAATAAACCTTTTTCAAGACAATATTCATTAAAATACAATTCAGTTCAATTTGACAAAAACGATGGACATAAACAACAAGTCTTATCCAAAACAGATAACTGAAAATTTTTAAAATGATCAGCTTTCCGTTTAGCATGGTCACGTTGTCGTCACATGGGCGACGCTTTCAAAAAAAAAAAAAAAGGTTTATTAAACCGAAACGTCAGACGTCGACATTTCATTCATTTTAAACAACATAATTGCATTTAAGGATTTTTGTTTGTTTTTTCCAAATTTTTCTTCATTCTGTCGGATCTATATCCATTTACATTTGCTTACATATATATATATATATATATATATATATAGTAACCCGGATATAAGTGAGATGTCGGGACCGGAGAAGAAGTCTCTTATATCCGGGTTTGGTCTATTTTGTTTAGGTAAGTAAGGCTCTAATTTGGGACCAGAGAAAATATCTCTTATATCTGGGTTTCTCTTATATCCGGGTCTCTTATATCCGATAATAATATATATGATATGTGCGGTCGTAGTGGGAAGCACTAGATATCAGTGATAGAACTAACATAATAATTTGTAGGGATATGAGTATGTGACCCTGCGTTTCACGCTTTTGCGACCATCAGAGTTTGTCTGATGATCTCAAATGCGTAATACTGGGGGTTATTTATTTTAGTATATTACACCGAAAAACATATAAAAATCGCTATACAGTTTCAGTCTCATTGTACCTGGATATATATATATATATATATATATATATATATATATATATATATATATATATATAATTTATTTAAGAAAATGCATTGTTTTTTTTTTAATTAAACAGTATTAATTACATTTACCGGCCTGATTGTTCTAGAAATTTCGTAGAGAATATGCGATCTCCGACTGGTATCGCATCTTTATTCCTATACAGAAACCGTCACATGTCCTGACGTGCTTTACCATTCAGCTACAGAGAAGCATCTTGTTGGCAAAGTTCAAATTACTGTTTTTTAAACGTGCAGTCTTCGACGATTATTCGCAATCGCTCATATCTTCTCGCAAAACTTATATTAATATTCAGGCCGGTAAATGTAATTAATACTGTTTAATTAAATGAAGCTGTACATTTAGTTAAATAAATTGTATCTATAAAAAATATTAGATAATTGTCGAACTTAATCCATTTCATTATATGTTGTCATTGTTTACGTTAAGATATATATCTATTTATCTCTCTCTCTCTCTCTATCTTAGTCTGTTCATATCTATCTATATTAGTCTGTTCATATCTTATTCTGTTCAAATCAATCTCTCTTTATCTATCTATCTATCTATCTCATTCTCTCTCTATATATCTGTCTGCCTCTCTTAGTTTGCTCATATCTATCTATCTATCTATCTATCTATCTATATGAGACTTTTCATATCTATCTATCTATCTATCTATCTATCTATCTATCTATCTCAGTCTTTTCATATCTATCTTAGTCTATTCACATCTATCCATCTATCTATCCGAGACCTTTCATATCTATCTATCTATCTATCTATCTATCTATCTATCTATCTATCTATCTCAATCTTTTCATATCTATCTTAGTCTGTTCACATCTATCTATCTATCTATCTATCTATCTATCTATCTATCTATCTATTTCAGGATGCCAATATCTATGTTTCCTTTTCTCTCTATTGTTTATTTTAACGCTTCATTTATTTTACTAGCCTGTCAGTGTTATGGAATTCGCTCTGGTTTCTCCACCTTCTGATGTCTTCTCTCATGCCTGCTTGCCTGCTGAATTGTCTCAAGAATAACAAGAGGCGCCGTTCTTCAACTTTCCAAGAATCTCTTCTGCGTAAACACCAGTACGAGAAATTCTTCATTTTTCAAGAAGAATGCTTATGCATATCTAACTCTGGCATGAGATTATATATTTAGGAGGCCATGCAAAGTTGCATACTTTCGTGTGTTTCGTCTCAAATTCGGCTTGTCAATAATAGCAATTATAAATCGACGCACTCGAGCTTATGGTGTCATTATGAATTTCATGATCTTTTCAATGGTTACATAATACTTGCTGGCAAGCCAGTGGTACATAGTTTGTTTTTTCTTTTTTTTTTTTTTTTTTTTTTTTTTTCTTTCTCTTAGACTGGGTGTCAACTATGGTTTGGTAACAACCTTGTGTCCACCCTGCTACTTAATAGAAGAAATGAAGGTGGAGTTTAAAGAACATGGTTAGAATTCGAACTCAGCCCGCCGGCTTCTTTTCCCTGTCTGCTACCATAACACCACCTGCATATCGTAATCTTGAACATTGATTATTCGTGTCGGAAGCGAATCTGACGCACTTTTCTTTGTGTTGCTTTTTGTGTCATCCATTTTTTTTTTTCACTTAGCCAATTAATGTCCATTGTTCTGTTGTTGGAGTGCTATACATTTATGGGACATATGTAGAAACCTATAATTAATAATGTATAAAACCTAAATTTTTATTTTAGAAACCTATAAAATCTTTTCTTTTTTTTTTTTAGAAACCTATAATACTGTTCTTTTTTTTCTTTTAGGAACCTATAAAACATTATTTTTCATTTTAGAAACTTATAATGCCGTATATTTTTTATTTTTGAAACCTGTAAAACTGTATTTTTTTATTTTAGAAACGTATAATAATGTATTTTTTTTATTTTATAAACGTATGATACCGTTTTTTATTTTAGAAACGTATGATACCATTTTTTAATTTAGAAACCTATAATACCGTATATTTTAGAAACATATAATACAGTTTTTTTTAAATTATTTTAGAGACCTATAATACCTTTTTTCTTGTAGAAACCTATAATAACGTTTTTTTTTAACCTAATATAGCGATTTTTTTTATTTTAAAAACCTATAATACCTATTTTTTATTAATTTTATTTTCCTTTGAAAGTTGTTTACTTAGAACCGCTTTTCATTTCATTTTTAGAAATCTAAAATTAAATTTTAATTTTTAGAAATTACGATATTGTTTTTGTCTTTATTTTTTCGGAACTTAGAATGACGTTTTCATTTTCGTAAAACTTAAAATTATTACCGTGTTTAAAAAAAAAAATTAGCAACATATAATACCGTTGTTTTATTGTAGAAAACTATAATACCATTTTTTTATATTTTAGAAACAATAATACCGTTAAAATAATATTATAATAGGGTTTTTTTTTTATTTTAGAAACCCATAATAACGTATTTTTTTTTCATTTTAGAAACCTATAATACCTTTTTTTATTTTAAAGACCTATAATACCGTTTTTATTTTATTATAAAGAATCATGATACCGTTTTTTTTATTTACGCACCTATAATACGTTTTTTTTTTATTTTAGAAACCTATAATACCGTTTTTTTTTATTTTAGAAGCATAATAACGTTTTTTTTTAATTTTAGAGACCTACAATATCGTTTCTTTTTTTATTTTAGGCGTAATACGTTTTTGTTTTACTTTAGAAATCTATAATAACGATTTTTTTATTATTTTAGAAACCTATAATATCATTTTTTTATTTTAGAATTCAATAATAAGGTTTTTTTATTTTAGAAACCAATAATACCGTTCGTTATTTTATTTTAAAGTCTTATAAAAAATTTTTTAAATTTAGAAACCTATATTACCGTATTTCTTATTTTCAAGACCTATAATAACGTTTTTTAGAAACCTATAATAGAGTTATTTTTTTTTATTTTAGAGAACTATAATAACTTTTTTTTTATTTTAAAGGCTTGTAATACCTTTTTTTACATTTAGAAACCTATAATACCGTTTTTTTTATTTTAAAGACTTATAATACATTTCTTTTTATTTTAGACACTTATATTAATTTTTTTTATTTTAGAAACTTTTAATACCGTTTATGTTAATTTAGAAACATATAATACCTTTTTTTTATTTTAGAAACCCATAATACGGTTTTGTTTTTACTTTAGAAATCTATAATAACGTTTCTTTTTATTTTAGAAACCAATAATACCATTTTTCAATTTTAGAAATCTATAATACCGTATTTTTTTAGAAACCTATAATGCCGTTTTTTTAATTTTAAAGACTTAAAAAACCGTTGTTTTTTTTTAATTTTAGAAACCTATAGTACTGTTTTTTTTATTTTAGGATCATATAATACTGTTTTTTTATCTTATAAACCTAAAATAACGTTTTTTTTAAATTTTAGAAGGCTATAATATTGTTTCTTTTTTTATTTTACAGACTTATAATACCGTTTTTTTTAATTTTAGAGAACCTATAAAATAACGATTTTTATAATACCTTTTTTTATTTCAGAAACCTATAATGCCGTTTTTTTATTTTAGAAACCTATAATACCGTTTTTTATTTTAGAAACCTATAATACGGCTTTTTTACTTTAGACATATATAATAACGTTTTTTGTATTTTAGAAACTTATAACCTATTTATAATTTTAGAAACATATAATACCGTATTTTTTATTTTAGAAACCTATAATAGATTTTTTTTTTATTTTAGAAACCTATAATAACTATTTTTATTATTCTAGAAAGCTAAAATATAAACGGTTTTTTTAGAAACCTATAATAACGTATTTTTTTTTAAAACGTATAATAATGTATATTTATTTTATTTTAGAGATTTAAAATACCGTATTTTTTATTTTAGATTCCTAAATATTTTAGAATATATTACGTTTTAGAAACTTATAATACCGTTTTTTTATTGTAGAAACCTGTAATACCGTTTTTTAAAAGGCCTATAATAACGATAATTTTTTATTTTATTTTAGAAACCTATGATACCGGGTTTTTATCTTAGAAACCTTTAATATATTATTTTTTTATTTTAGAAACCTGTAATAACGTTTTTTGTTTATTTTAGAAACCAATAATACTGTATTTGTGATTTTAAAAATATATAATAACGTATTTTTTTTTTATTTTAGAAATTTATAATAACGTATTTTTTAGTTTTAGAAGCCTAAATATTTTAGAATATATTATATTTTAGAAACCTATAATAACGTTTTTATTTTAAAAAATCTGTAATAGCGATTTTTTATAAGCCTATAATACCGATTTTTATTGTAGAAACCTATAATACCGTTTTTATTTTAAAAAAAAAGGAAAATTATAATAGTAATTTTTTTTATTTTAGAAATCTATAATGCAGTATTTTTTTTATTTTATTAACCTGTAACACCTTATTTTTTATTTTATTTTAAAAATCTATGATATTTTTTTATTTTAGAAACCTATAATAATGTTTGTTTTTTAGTTCAGAAACCTATAATACAATTTTTTTTTATTTTAGAAACCTATAGTAATCTTTGATTTTTTGTTCAGAAACCTGTAATGCCATTTTGTATTTTAAAAACCTATAATACTGTTATTTTATTTTAGAAACATACATTAGAGTTATTTTTAATTTTAAAAACCTATAATAACGTGTTGCTTTGTTTTTAAAAATATAGTGCCGTTTTTTTTTTAAAAAAAAACATTTTCTCTTATTTTAGGAAACTATAATACTGTATAATTAGATTTTTTTTAATATTTGAAACCTATAACACAATTTTGTATTTTGTATTTTAGAAGTGTATAATGGCTTTTTTTTATTTTAGAAAACTATAATACCGTCTTTTTATTTTACAAATCTATAATAACGATTTTTATTTTATAAACATTTAATACAAATTTTCCATTTTGGAAACCTATTATATTTTTTTCTTTATTTTACAAATATATAATACCGTTTTATATATTTAAATTCTATAATGTATCTTAATATTTCATTTTATTTTTAGAAACCTATAAGACAGTTTTTTTAGAACCTATATTATATTTTGTGACGTACAGTGGCCGATAATTATTAAGTATGAGTCAAGACTTCATTGTTAAATAAAACTGTATTTAATTACAACCGCAAATAAATACTTTGCAAGAACAAGAAAGTAAAAGTCAACCAAAGAAAAGTTACCATTTCAGCGAATACCTTGTTATTAGCGTGGCTCAGCTTAACGTCCGGTAAATCCTAAATCAAAACCCAAATCATCGATACACAATAATTCACACTAATTCGACTGGATAGTTCAACTCAATCAACACTGCAGTCAGTAGCCTGACACCGCTATTTACACACCTGGTGGAAAACATATATTCATATGTCCAAAGTGTCACGCTCAAATCTCGGTGTTGGTAGTTACTCATTTCCTTCCTATATGACAGTTATGCTGTTATAATAATTGGTGTGCAAATTCAAAATTCCTTGAGGAATATAACGTGAACGCCCATTTTATATGATTTTTAACTAACCAGTAATCTTAAAAATTTAGGAAAATATTCTCTGTAATAGTTTTCTAAATTTATTTTTCTGAGAATGTCATGTATATACGTCTGTATTTAAAAAAGTCGGCTCCCTACAAAAAAATAAATAAATAAAAATTATTTTTAAAATACTAGGGGTCGCTGAATTGTAGTAAGCTTTTCCATTTATGATCACTAAATATGATTTTTACTTAATAATATTATATAACCGGTACAAATTATTACATTATGATAAAAATTTAAACTTTATAAATTATTATAATAAAGATTTTAAATTCTGTAAGTTATTCTAATTAAAATTGAAAAAAATTAAAACAATTCTTGGAAAAAAAATCATTATACATCGAAATTCTTTTTTCTTAAGGCAATAATATATAGATATATATAATATATTTTATTAATAAAAGTAATTAAAAACATTTCTACTTTCATAATGTTTTA